CGTTTCAATCTCGGTTTATGTGTGTTCTGAAACTTTCCGGCCAAGTAACGTCGACAGAAACGAAGTAGTGAATCAATTTGTCACTTAAAAGTCTTCCCATATAAATCTGTAGCGACGATAATTTGGCACCACATCAGACTAATAAAAATACTGCCCTGAAACAGGCTTGGGTACAAAAATTATACATACATACGGAGAAAAAACAGGAAGATTTTTTTATAGTTAACTATTGCAGGAAAATTTAGATGAGTACTAATATTTTGAGTAGAGTGGAGCTAAGAAGTATTATTCTGTCATCCTTTCCTCTTAAGGCCTTTCGAAAGTGCGTAAAACAATCAACCAAAAACTCGAGGTCCATATTACATATTAAATAACTAAATATTCGCCCTCACTCCGCAAAACTAGAAAAAGAACAGTACTTTTTGGAGCTCTTATGTCTTTATTCTGATTCAGCTTATCTTAAGTAAAGAAAATTTACATAAGATAAAAACGAAGTCACATAAAAAGACGCCTTATTCAGAAAGCTCTGCCTCAAAGCGTTTATTTAGAAGCGCTACTCATTTTCTCATTCCTCCACCATTACCCAAAAGTATCTATCCAGATTGTAGGAGCGGTTGCATAATCATTGCACACTTAAACATGTACTTTGGGGTTTAGAGCACTCAAAAACTTTAGTAGCTAACCTCTCCATAGAATTTGATTCGAAAGTTTTACTTTAGCTGCATGCCCGTTGAAACTTCAATGCCTAATCGAAAAGTATCTCTTTTTAGACCTCTCGTTTGTTTATNTCAATCTCGGTTTATGTGTGTTCTGAAACTTTCCGGCCAAGTAACGTCGATAGAAACGAAGTAGTGAATAAATTTTTCACTTAAAAGTCTTCCCATATAAATCTGTAGGGACGATAATTTGGCACCACATCAGACTAATAAAAATACTGCAGATGAGTACTAATATTTTGAGTATAGTGGAGCTAAGAAGTATTATTCTGTCATCCTTTCCTCTTAAGGCCTTTCGAAAGTGCGTAGTCATATAGGAACCGCTAAACAATCAACCAAAAACTCAAGGTCCATAAATAATAACTAAATATTCGCCCTCACTCTGCAAAACTAGAAAAAAACAGTACTTTTTGGAGCTCTTATGTCTTTTTTCTAAAGAAAATTTAAATAAGATTAAAACGAAGTCACACAAAGAGACGGCCTTTATCAGAAAGCTCTGCCTCAAAGCGTTTATTTAGAAGCGCTACTCATTTTCTCATTCCTCCATCATTACCCAAAAGTATCTATCCAGATTGTAGGAGCGGTTGCATGATCATTGCTCACTTAAGCATGTACTTTGGGGTTTAGAGCACTCAAAAACTTAAAAGAAATCTTATCTAAGCATAACTATTCCTAACAAGAACGGTCAGAATGTAGCATATTATATAGTAGCAACGTTTTGCTAGCTGGACGTATTGGATGAAGCTGCATACCGATTAGAATACCACATCAAAGCCACATAAGTTGATTTACTAGTAGCTAACCTCTCCATAGAATTTGATTCGAAAGTTTTACCTTAGCTGCATGCCCGTTGAAACTTCAATGCCTAATCGAAAAGTATCTCTTTTTAGACCTCTCACAATAGCGTATGTTTACACTCTCTACCCACCTGCAAATCGGTCAGTATTTTCGTCTGCCAAATGACTGCAGATTTGTACTGTAGAAAAGGCCACCCCGGTTCTACTAAATAGCACTGTTCTAGCCTAAAAAGCTAATATATTCGTCGATAGCCGTATTTGAAAGCAATAGAATTTTCGATAGTGAAAATAGAGGGCTGTACGGATACGTCGAGCCGCGTTAGCCCTTTCAACATCACTCTTTCCCCAATTTCCGGTCTTAGCAATATCGAAAGGAACGAGGCAGCTGTTGGGATAGCCAGGCGGGTAACTCAATACAACTACTGTTAAGGTGTTTAGGAATGAAATGAGTTTGTTGTGAGATCTCTAGGTTATTATAGCTGGGGTTGAACAGCAAAAGGACTGCAGAGCTTCTATAACTCAACAGATCTTCAGTAAGTGTTCTTATTGGCATCATTACAGGAATACTTTGCTAAAGTACCTATGCTCCAACGTTTGGCGAATACTGAATAGTTCTGTTGTAGAAGCTGAAAGCTAGAAGAAATTAAATGGCCACTTTCTGTACATACATTGTCCGGACATGCCTTAATTTTTATTTGGGATCAAAAGCGGTTTATCGGCTTGATAAAGCCTTGATAATTATATCCTCGTTTCCGTTTGTAAAGGAACTCCAGTTAGGGGAATTTGCCTCCTCCAAACACTAACTTAAATAGGGCACTAATAATAGAACTATGTCTATCACTCGGCCCCTCCAGTCTTATTCGCTGACGGAAAGATTTGTAATTGTTATCTTAACATCTATGTGGGAGCTGTGTATTTATAAATACATATATAAATATATACATACATAAGCAGTCGTTTTGAATAAGTATTTTAACAAGTTAAGCTACTACTTATAAAAAATAAACTGGGGGTTCGATTTATGTATGTATGTACCTTGTCAAATGTGAGTAATTTTTTAACTTACAGTTATTACTATTCTAAGTCATTGGACTATGGTTGAAAGCATCTCTAGTTGCAACACCCTGTACTTAAGTACACTTATGACGATACAAACTTTTTGCGAAATCCCATTCTATTTGCATATGTTTGTGCATAGAGGATTCTTCTCTTAAACATTTTGAGTGCGCATGAGCACCATCGTTTCTAGGCCTTGTATGTATTATACTTTGTTTTGTGTCAGGAAAGGCGGTCATGGCGGTGTTTACAAAATTTTAAGAGAACTGCAATAAAATTAAATTTCTTTTGAATGTATGTACTATACATACATATGTATGTATGCATGAACATATGCTTCATTAAATTTACATATGTACATGCTTATTAAACTTCTACTGCAAACAATTTATTCTGCAATTTGGCGCTTTGGTTCGAAGTTAACTAAATTTACGAAAACATATTTTGTGCTCTCAAAATATGTTAGTAAATACATATTACAATTCGTTGTTCGTTTTCTCATTGTGATATCTTACATTAAACTGAAACTACGACTTTGATATATATATATATTTTTTTTAATTTCACGCTTATGCAAGTAATTTATAACGCATTGCTGTTTTTAATCTGACCTTAGCCAAAAAAGGCAAAAGAAATTGAGCTGCATTCCTATTATTTTCTGGTCTGCTTTTTCCGGTTGTAATACAGCTCTATTTGTTTCTTAGTTGTTCCAATGTTTTTTTGTTGCTAAATGCAAATGAATTTATTCTTAGCTAATTCTCTCACTGAAGCTTATACTCGTACGTATCGTGGTCGCATGATTTACGTCCCCACTTCTTCGTTTTCATCGCGATAAAGTATATGTATGTAGGTACACTTGTTTGTGGTCACACAAACCAAAGAAAAAATACATATTTATTTTAAATAAAGTTTACACTGTAACAAAGACTATATAAATAAATGTTTCTAACTTTGTACAAAATTTATAAAACATTCTGGAGTTTTTATTGAAATTTTAAACTTTTTGTTAACATTTTTTAGAAAATTTTCTGGTATTTATGCAGTTTAATTGCCACTTTAATATTAGTATAGTAAAATTCTGTTTGATTCCTACATTTCTTTCTATACGATTTTGCGCATTTTTTCCATATAAAAAGCATCCCTGACATGGAAAAATTACATAAGACCCGCGAAAACAATTCTCAAAAATTTTAAAGAATTTTGCATCAGTTTTGTCAAAATTCGTTTGAATCTTGCGAGCTCTCTGGGGGTTTTTTTGGGATGTTTCGAAAGAATCTGTTTATTTTTGAAACCTTTCGACATTTTTTCCTGCCTTTGGCACAACGGCATTTACAAGTATACGAATTTTTCGTGGGTTATTTTCCGTTTTTCTGGGCTATTCCGGGATATTTCAAAACTTATGGATAATTTCGGAGAATTTTAAAATTTTATCGGAAACATTTTTGGGAACTGTCAGGACCAAAATTATATTTAAATTTTATCTTTGCTCTTTATAAGCTATAAAATACCGTTACATTTATTTTGCTATCTGTTCTTGTTCTCGAGATATCCGATTGAGTCACAAAAGAAGTTCGTATTCCACACTGTGCTGCGCGAGCCAAAAACGAAGTTACGCAAAATTGGTTACACAATTCGAGCCTTAATACTTCAATTTCGGCACCGCGAAAACTTAACAGGCCAGTAGAACCTGTTACGTAGATTCCATTTCATCATCCTTCGGTTAACTGCGGCAGTGAAATTTTTTGTCGTGATTTTTTGTGTTGTCATGTGAATTTCCATCGGAATAGGACCTGTTAAAACTCGCACCAAAAGCGAGAGCCGTAGCTTTACAAGTATAAGAAACTCGGTTGACCTTTGAATATTCACCGATGGGAGTCAACTTAGTAGCTCAGCTCTGAGTTGAGTAACCCACCTCTACAAGGGTGAACCAAAGGTGGTTCAAATGGAAATCAGTAACGAATTTTGAGCGCACTGAGACGACTAAGATCAACAAATTTCGTATACTAGCCACTAACCACCTGACCACTTCAACTTATAACTCCCCTTATTTACCTACTATGAGCTCTCGAGTTGAACCATTTTTACTCGCAAAAAGTACATATCAGAGTAGATATCTTTAGCTTGTGTGTACCAATCCAACTACGGAAAAGTCGGCTGCTAAGTATAATTCTCTCAGCACATGTGTAATTTTATTGTAGCTACATTATTTAGTTAAAGTTACCAAATCATGTGTTGAGAGAAATATTTTCAGCTGACTTTTTCTGGGTGCAGGAGATCTATAGCGTTTTAGGATTATATTTAGTTGCAGAGGTGCAATAATTTCAACATCTTCTGGGTATCTATCCATCCTTCGCTTCAAAGTTGGATACCAGTACTTCTGAAAAATATTTACTTAAATTAAATTACACTTGACTTACGTAAATATTATATTTCCCATATTTTACTCTTTTTCCTTGCAGTTTTGTCAACCCGCATGAAACAATTGGCTCACTTGCTGGACGATTTCAATTTCGAATGCATTGGCACAGCGCAAACAGATGATGAGAATGTCATTTGCGAAAGTCTGAAACATTTCGCCGCCATAATTGGAACCATCGAAGATGAGCGAGAAAAAATGGTGAGTAAATGCCAACGCCAACTAAGCGCTTAAACTCGTATTTGTGTAGAAATATTTTCATAAGCTTACAGCCAGGCGGCAACAAACCATAAAATTTGTATTTAGTAGTGCGAGATCTATTAGCAGGAAAAACTAACCATATGTTTTTACTGAAACTTTTTACTAACTAAACACATCCATTCATACACAGTTAATACATATAGTATCAAAAACTAATGGCGTTTCTGCACAATTTCACAGCTGACGCTGGCGGATCAACACATTATTATGCCACTGGAGGAGTTTCGTAAGAAACATATTGGCGGCGTTAAGGAGAATAAGAAAAAGTTTGATAAGAAGACGGAAAAATTTTGCCAGACACAAGAACGTTTCCTGAATATGTCAACAAAAAAGCCAGAGAATACGATACAGGAGGTGAGTGTGATTGTTTGTAGCTATGTGTGTACATAGATAATATGCAGGAAATACGTTTAAGCGATTTTAGCGGCAAAGTTAGTGTTGTATGTACATATATACGCTGGAAGGCGGAGGGAGTAGTGCAAAATTTAATAAAAAAAGGCACTTTTAGTTGAATTTGTGCGAAATGAACAAACAATTTTGGTTTGTAAGCGCACACACAAATCGCCCAGACCGGATGTGCTGCGAAAAGATTTTGCTATTTTTGAAAGTAAATAGTTTTTGTGCGAGCACTGCAAGAAAAACGGATGTGAACTTGGTAACATTTTAGACTTTGATGGTAAATCAATTAATTATTATTTTTTTTTTGAGAGTTAAATACTGGATATTCTGTACATTAAATGCAATGTCTACATATTTATGTATGGACTTAACTCTGATATCAGCTCCTTGGAGGAATTTTTGAAATTTTTGCAGAAAATTATTTTATTATTATTTTAATAAACATAATTATGTTATCTTCTTTCCTTTTTACTACATCAAAGTACATTTTTCACTTTTTCAAATTTATTTCAAGGTTTTTAATAGTTTTATTTTGTTAGTTTTTTATTTCACTTTAGTTTGTCTTATTTATTGTTTAATGTTTTTTAACTTATCTAACTTTAGGAAATTTTTTAATATTATGTTCCGATTTAAATTTTTGTTTAATTTAATTTGCAATTATATGTTTGGTATCATTTTATTTTATGTATCACACCTTATTTTTGTTATTTTTAGTTTTATTTTATTTCATTATAAATTTATTATTTTTAGTTTTTAAACAAATTTTTATATGTATTTATAATTTTATTTGTTTCATTTTAGTTTATATAACTTTTTTTCTTTGATATAATTTTATTTCACTTATACTTAAATTTAATTTAATTTTATTAATATTTCGTATATTTTAGTGCGTTTAGTTTTTATATATAAATTATATCTTAACTCTTAATTTATTTTTAATATAATTTAGTTTTGTTTATTTTTTATATTTCATTCAACAATTTTATTGAGCTTGAAAAATGAAAAATGTTGTGGAAAACAATAAAAATGTATACATGGTAGAAGTTATATCCGCTATTTCTGAGATCACCACATCTCCTCATCAGACTTCTTAATAGAATTCACTGGGACTTCAATCAGCAGCTCTGGCGTACAAAGCTGACAGTCTACCTACTGAATTAAGCTTGGCATATAAACTGTTGTCGCTTTTTTCTATGTATGTTTTATATATTTTCTTTTTAATTCGGTTTTATAAAATTTTATAATTAATGTTTAGTATTTTTCACAAAAAAAAAAAAAAACAAAAAGAAGAATTTATTACCTTATATATAGTTTAATTTTATTTCATATGGTTTTCAATTAAATTTTTATTTTATTTTATTATATGAATGAGTTTTTAATTTTCTTACTTTAATTTTATCGTTTTATTTTCTGTATTATATTTTGCATTATTTTATATATGTAGATAAGTTTTACATTTATTGTATGTATGTATGTATATACTTTTATTTTATTTCATATTTTTTCTACAAGGCATTTACGAATTTTTTATTTAATTTTAATCTTTAATTTTATTTAAATTGAAATTTGATTAAATTTTTCAGTTTCTTTATTCTTTTTTAATTAGTTTTTAAGTTTGCATAATTTTTTATTTATTTTTTAATTTAAAAGTTTTCACTTTATTTTTAATTAAATCTAATCTTTTAAATTAAGTCAATTAATTTTTATAGTTTTTTAAATTATACTTTTAATTTAATTTAATTTCTTTATACCTTTTTTAAGTACGTATTCAATTACAATTATATTTTCGCTATTATTTTTAATTTCTCTCAGTGTCCCTAACATAGGTTTTCGGAACAGCAATTTCTATGAAAGAGTTGAAACGGAAAATGCAATAAATACGAAATTCATTCGGCATGTTAGCCGCCGGCTGCTTCCTTTATATTGGCACCGACCGCATCCCCTTTCGTTAGTTTTCAGATTTTCCGCTGCTATAGACGTTCCATTGCTACTCACTTGAACTTTTCCCATTTTCCAATTTCAACAAATCTGTTTGTACAATATTTACCAGCTACTTTTAGTACATACTTATATATGTTTGTACATACGAAGCGCATACGGACACAAGTGTAACTAACCATGCATAAGTATTTGTGGCAGACAGAAAATACTGGTAGTAAATAGTTTTTGCTGCCGCCAAAGTTCCATGACCTGCGCCAACAAAGAATTGCATTACTGCCCTGCTGCTGAAACTATTGTTGGCATGAATGTACATACATATGTAGTACATAGTAATGCGGCGTGCAATTCACTCAACCCACTATAGGTAAACGCACACACAAATATATATACCACATAGCTACATACCTACATACATGGGCAACCCATATTGCAACGTCAGAAACTACACGCCGAGCCGAGCCGCCCTTAATGTGTGTATACCAGTATACCAACAGTTGCCACTTACTTATTTGCTGTAAATGCCACAACCTACACAAATACATTATCATCCATGTGTGTGTGTGTGTAATTGTGTGGGCACCTACTCGTCGGATTTGGCACTATCCGCCCAGGACACCTACCAGCAAAACTATTCCTCCATCGTCAAACACCCCCAAGTGGAGTGTTGCAACACCAAAACGTTTTGATTTATTCAAGCCACCCACTAGTTTTTGTTGGTGGGAGGAACTCATTTTTCTATGTAATTGTATTTGTGGCTAATGACCCTTTAGGAAAAGCAAAACATTGCGAGGTATGCAAAATTATTATGGAACCATGTCTATACATATATACATAGGTGTTATACACCAAAACAGAGGCTCAGTAGCACCTAAACCTTCCAGTGAACTAGCTACTTCAAAGGAAGACCCGAATAGACTACTTCACACGTCCATAAACATCATCCTTGTATATGTTACCGGCCAAACCCTAGATCAGGCTCCGCAGTATTTTTGAGCAAAACTCTTTTCGCGTAAAAATAACCCTCATCAGTCCAACTCCAGATACGCAGTCCACAATATTCTTGCGTCCAACTTGATTCCGCGTTGGACAGATGTATCGGATCTAGTTCGATCTAGTTTGGCCTAGGAAAAAATTGTTTGTCCTAAGATCGGGTTTGGCCAGTTACATATATAAAAAAAATTTTTGTCTAACCATTTCAATATTGCCCTATAGGGTTCAATAGTTTTTGCTTTAACCTGTGTGTCTATGTGAGTTGACTACTTTTGCATTTCGTCGTTGGGTGAGTGTGCAGCAATACTGTCTAAAACCGTTAAATTGCAAATATTCGACTATTTTGCTTTCGTTGGTGCCCAGTCCACTCACTGAACCCAACCCTACAGCGCCACACAGCAAACTCAGCCCGACTACTCAACTTTTTGCTTGGTAACAGAAAGATTTGTTTGCATTGCAATGTTGTTTCGTAGTTTAGGGGTCGTATGCCCGCCCTCCCACCGTTCGCCTTCACTGCCTGCATATTTGTCTGATAGTGACACTGTTGCTGCAAAAGAAAGGTTGCCTGCTGTTAATACTTTTATTGCGGACTTGACACTGGGCAACAGTGGAACAAGTTGGATGGGGTTAGCATCAAAAATCTCATCAAATCTCCTGGGGTATTTGTATAGTGAAATGTTATTACAAATGTAAATAAATATATTTATTTTCGCGTTGGGTCGGAATCATGGATAATCCACGCCTTAAGAAAAAAGCTCTGTAACTATAAAAAAAAACTTCACACAGAATTCGCATACCGATACGTAATCTGTTACTAATGCTGAATTTCCACTAGGTATTAAATGGCAAATGACAATGTTGGGCATTAAAAAGTATTCGTGTCATTACGTTAAAAAATTGTCGTTATGTTCATTTCCACATGGCATTTTTCTAAATGACTTATATTTTTTGTCATTTTAATGCCTAGTGGAAATTTGGCATTAGGCATTGATCATCATTACGTATTGTTTTGAGGCACCAGCTAAAAGTTGGTATCGAATTTCTGAATTTTGTTTTGCCAGTCTATTCTTGCTTGTCCGATGCTCAACGGCGCTCTTTGCATAAATTTATACTAATGCATCGCTCAAAATACTAAGGCTTAATAAAATAAAAATGGTTCTAAATGGTAGCCTTGATAAATCGTCCTGCTTCGCCTATGCTTGCGTATGCATATGTATGTATATTAGGGTGGTAAAAAAAGGTTAAAATGTTAAGCTCTCGCCCTACCTAATTTTATTTAAATGGAAAAAATACCCTATTTTGTGTTGTTAAAAAAAATAGCCTGAAATCCCCTAAAGTTTTCCAAGTATTTTATATGGGCAAAAACACTTTTTCGTAGAATGGTATAGCATTCTCGAAAATCAAATTTTCCTATCGGAAAACCCCGTTGCTCTTCCGGAGACTCCCAATTGTTTATTTTACCATTTTTTAAAACTAACGATTTTTTATAGGTCCCCTATCGGATTTTTTGGGGTTTTTAATGGACCCTTAAGAACTCTTCTAGATGTAAACAAAGTTTTCCGGTGGAAAAATATTTATTTTCAAAAATTCTATACCATTTATACGAAAAGGTGTTTTTGCCCATATAAAATACATGGAAAACTTCATGGGCTTTCGGCAGTTCCAAATATATATATATTTTTAACAAAAAATACATGTATTCTCTTTTTTTCAATTAGAAAAATTCTAGGTAGTGAGGGTTTAACATTTTAAAAATGTTTTCCAGACATGTACTTTTGGGCCACCCAGTACACATCTAGTACTGTGAAATTTGCACAGTGAAAATAATTTCTGTAACATTTTGAACGCATTTTGAGTGATCTTGGGACCGACCTGAAGTCTTTAATTTCAGTCTGACAAGGGAGGAGGAGATATGTGTCACAGACAGGACCGAGTTAGTTGTTGAACGACCGCTCAGGCGAGCACACGTATTCTTCCGCGCTTTCACAGTACTCGAGCCAAGACAACATTTCATTTACTTATAC